CACCCAACCCCCGTCCCAACCCAGGCCTTCATCACACTATTGTCTGTGTCCATGGGTTGTGCATGTATACATACATGTCCTTCGGTTAATCTCTTCCCGTCCCCTCTACCCCCCTCCCCACCAAGGTTCGTCAGTCTGTTCCATGCTTCCATGTCTCTGGACCTATTTTGATTGTCAGTTTATTTTGTTCACTAGATTCCACATATAAGTGAGATCGTGTGATATTTACTTTTCTCTGACCAGTTTATTTTGCTTGGCATAATAATCTCCAGGCCCATCCATGCTGTTGTAAAAGGTAAGAGATCCTTCATTTTTACAGCCACATTCCATGGCGTATATGACCTGCAGCTTTTCATCCACTCGTCTACTGATGGGCGCTTGGGCTGTCTCCAGATCTTAGCTATTGTAAACTGCGCTGCTATGAACATCGGGGTGCATAAGTTCTTTCTGAATGGTGTTTCAGGTTTCTTAGGATATATTCCCAGACGTGGGATCACTGGGTCATAAGACAGTTCTGTTTTTTTAAATTTTTTGAGGAAACTCCATACTGTTTTCCACAGTGGCTGCACCAGTTTGCATTCCCCCCAGCAGTGTACTAGGGCTCCCTTTTCTCCACACCCTCGCCAGCACTTGTTTGTGGATTTGTTGATGGAGCCATTCTGACAGGTATGAGATGACATCTCATGGGCTGGTTTCAGTTTGCATCTCTCTAATGATTAGTGACTTTGAGCATTTTTTCATGTCTTTTGGCCATCTCTATGTCCTCTTTGGAGAAGTATCTATTCAGGACCTTTGCCCATTTTTAAATTTAGATTGTTTGTTTTCCTGGTGTTGAGTTGTATGAGTTCCTTATATATTTTGGAAATTAACCCCTTATCAGATGTATTATTGGCAAATATGTTCTCCCATGTAGTGGGTTCCATTTTCATTTTGTTGGTGGTTTCTTTTGCTGTGCAGAAGGTTTTTAGTTTGATGTAGTTCCATTTGTTTAGTTTTTCCTTTGTTTCTCTTGCCATAGGAGATCTATCATCAAAAATACTGCTATGTGAGATGTCTGAGATTTTATTGCCTATGTTTTCTTCTAGGGTTTTTATGGTTTGGTGACTTACATTTAAGTCTTTTACCCATTTTGAGTTTATGCTTGTGTATGGTGTAAGTTGGTGGTCTAGTTTCATTTTTTTGCATGTACCTGTCCAATTTTCCCAACACCATTTATTGAAGAGACTGTCTTTACTTCACTGTATGCTCTTGCCTCCATTGTCAAATATTAATTGACATAATGGCATGGGTTGGTTTCTGGAGCTCTGTTCTGTTCCATTGATCTATAAGCCTGCTCTTGTGCCAGAACCAGTCTGTTTTGATTACAATGGCCTTGTAATATAGTTTGATATTCAGTATTTGATATTCAGTATTTGTTCTTCTTTCTCAAGATTGCTGCAGCTATTCTGCGT